ACACACACACACACACACACACACACACACACACACACACAAACGTCACTCCTCTGTTTATGGTTATTTTAAACTCACTAACCTGAACCAGAACTTAATCCACAGCATACCTCTAAACCTAACTAGTAAAGCACAGCAGAGCTGCAGACAAAGTGAGGACATTGAAGAGGTCCTCACTTTACATCAAAGATCTCACTTTGATAGTAACTGTCGTGCAAATGGTCCTCACCCTGTAGCAGAAATACACACACAAGATTAAACTTGTATTTGTATAAACTGTGGTTTATGACACTTTATGAATATTAGATTATTTTATAGCCAGAGTTTGAAAAGTGAAACCATTCAATCAGTTTTTCTTATTGAGTTTATATTCGTTATTCTCACATTTACTGTTTTTCTGCATCAACGTCTGAATTTGTGCTTCGTTTGTGTTTTTATCAGGGAAGACTTTCCTGCGAGCCCCCCAGATGAACATCAACATCGCCACCTGGGGCCGGCTGGTGAGGAGAGCCATCCCCACAGTCAGCTCCAACTCCTTCAGTCCTCAGGTCCCAGAGACGGGACAGAGCAGCCTGCCTGGTTCCCCCACACCCAGCAGGTGATCAGATACTCGTGGACCAGATCAGAACATCTAGACATAAAAGCAGTAACAACAAGGACAGATTGAAGCTACTGCTTAGTCCTGCTCTCCTTTATTCTCACGTCTTTGTCCAAACACAGTGACCCTCTGGTGACCAAGCTGGATTTTGACAAAGAGCCCACACCAGAACCCAAACATTACCCCAAACCTGACGACGTTAGAGAAGCACCTGTACAACATAAGCTGGCCAACAAGGATGAAGTTCAGGTATGAAACTGTTCCAGAAATGAAAGGTGATGTTCAGAGTTCTGTTCCTACAAACTAATATTTAATGAGCTGTTGCTTCAGCTGTTATGTTTGCTGCTGATAAACACAATGCTTTTAGAAAAAGAATGGATCAGTGGATATTAAAGGAACGCTTTGGCCTTTTTCAAGTGAGATATTAGAGGAAGTTCATGACCAATGTCTTGCTTTTTAAACGGCTTCAGGTTAGAAAAGTAGAGTTTAGGTCTGACAGGACCAATGAGCTAATAGTGGCACTTTGATTAATGCGTCGTGTGTCCCAGGCAGTGTGTCAATCAGGTTGTTGTGATCTTCAGTCACTCTTTTAATGCTTAGAACCCCATACCATTTTGAAATATATCTAAATGTTTGATCTAGTTTGTTTCCTGCTTTGGGTTGAAAATTTGATGTGAAATTGTGATGTGCTCTATGGCAGGGGTTCTTAACCTTTTTGACCTCAATTTGTTGAACAAAAAGTGGCACGAGGCCCAGTCAGACATTACCTATGTACGGATCAAAATGATAATTATTCTAAATCTTGGTTTAATATTATTCTATTTATTATAACTTACTCTATAACTAAATTAAATACACTTACAGTTCAAAAGTAAAACTCCTGTCAAATAATAAGAAGACATGATTATGACAAACATTTTCATATTGTAACCTGCCCATAACAATTATTTGTCAACAGACCACTCAGGCTTATCAACACAAATATATATATATAT